GATCATGACCTGAGCCAAAGGCAGTCGCTTAACCAACTGAGCCACCCAGGCACCCCTTATTGTTCATGTTTATCATTCAAGTAATGGACTGGGCTAAGGCAGCTGTCTTAGGTTTTTTAATTTCAAGCAAGAACATTCTGCTTATTCTCAGTAAATAATTGCTTTTCTGCTTCTAAAATGAAAATGCCACAAAGACAAATGTTAGAGAATAATAAGAAATTAAACACCAAAAAATCAGGGGCGCCTGGGTGGCTCAGGTCATGATCCCGGGGTCCTGGGATTGAGCCCCACATCAGGCTCCCTGCTTAGCAGGGAGTCTGCTTCTCCCTCTCCCTCTGCCTCTCCCCCTGCTGCTTGTGCTCTCTCTCTCTCTCAAATAAATAAAATCTTACAAAAATAAAATCTTAAAAAAAAATCAGAATAGTTGACTAGGAATAGTTATGCTTCTTCTGAGTAACCCAAATATACTTTAGACACAAAATGTTAGCTAATACCTGCTGAGAAGTAAATGTCAATATATGAATTCACTTAAGAGACTAGCTGATCATTAGCTATGTTGTTGTGGTCTGGTAGACTGTCTATATTAGGACAGAAACTTGCCTGTGAAATAATAGTTATCTATTAGATACAACTGTGAAATACTATGGAAGGAATACTATGGGTTCAGAACCCTCATCCAATTAAAATGGTGCCCATTAAAAACTAAGATGCAAACAAACGTAATGTGTCATTTTATTTTTATAATTTTTTTTAAAGATTTTATTTATTTATTTGAGAGAGAGAGAATGAGAGAGAGCACATGAGAGGGGGGAGGGTCAGAGGAGAGGGAGAAGCAGGCTCCCCGCCGAGCCAGGAGCCTGATGTGGGGCTTGATCCCAGGACCCTGGGGATCATGACCTGAGCCGAAGGCAGACGCTTAACCATCTGAGCCACCCAGGCGCCCCCATAATTTACCTATATTGATACACATTTAGGTTGTTGCTAGTCTTTTGCTATTACAGACTATGCTGTAATAAGCATACTTGTGCATATATCTTTGTGTATGTGTTCAAGAGCAGAATTGCCAAGTCAAACAATATGTACATTTTAAATCTTGGTATATATCATGAAATTACCATTTAAAGAAGCTATACCAATTTATAGTGAAAAAAATATGCACTACTAAAACCACAAAACTTTTTTATTTAGCAGTATCTCCCAATATTTGAGTTGAAAAGGAGTTTCTGTACCAACAGTAATTCTAGATCATAAGGTCTAATTTTTTCATCTCATGAACATTATACAAAAAATATTTTTTTGTCAGGGAAAAAACACAGGGACACCTGGGTGGCTCAGTTGGTTGAACGTCTGCCTTTGGCTCAGTTCATGATCCCAGGGTCCTGGGATCGAGTCCCACATCGTGCTCCTTGCTCGGTGGGGAGCCTGCTTCTCCCTGTGCCTGCCGCTCCCTCTGCTTGTGCATGTACTCGCTCTCTGACAAATAAATAAAATCTTAAAAAAAGAAAAAACACAACGCAAAGTTAATTAACTAGTATGGTTCTCTGCAAGCATCATGCTCTCCCTTGAATCCTCTCTCACCTTCCCTTACTCTGACTCTACCTCAGTTAGCCTGCTAGTACTTCCATCCCTCTCCACCTAGCTTATTGCCCCATTTCTGACTTCTCTATCTTATCTTGTCCTACTTGTATACAGCTTGAATCACTTTTTTTTGCATGCTAAGCATATTCCCTTGGCTTTTGAGCCCACTTGCTCTAAAAAAAACCCTTTAAAAAATCCTGGAATTATTGCAGTCATTTGCCTCTCTCTACTCCCTCCTGAGGACTTTTGAGGAAAAAAATCGTATCAGACCTTAAATTAGGCCTTTTGGTGTCTGATTTAGATCTTTCTTTGCCAAAATTGCTATTCTAGACTACTTCAGTCCAATACTCAAGACCCTGCCCACACCCCACCCCAGCAAATGGTATATGTATCATCTGTCAAAACCCTCCATCCTCTTTATTTCCATGCCTTTTTGGAAGAATTTCTGTACTGTTTTCATTGACTTGCCTCTCATCCCCCATAGTCTGGCTTCTAACCCCACCACCATATCACTCACACTGTTCTCACTACAATTAGTACAGTCTCCTGTTGTTGTCCTACCTGACATCTCTGTTCAGTTTGGCACTGTTTACTGCCCTCATCTTTCGAAGTTTCTTGATTTCCCTCTCTTCTGCTTCTGGCTGTTCTGATTCTGTTGTCTTTGCTGCCTCGTTTACCTGGTGTTTTAACTTGGTGTTTCATTGAGTTCTGTCCCTGATTCTGTTATCACATAACATATTTAGAGTTTTAACCACATCAGAGGTTTTTATTACCACCTAAAGTAACTCCTAATCTGTGTATCAGTCCACCCTCTATTTGGCTTCAGATTAGTCCATATAGCTGTTTACCAGACTTTTCCACTTTGAGTACCTTCGAATCAACAGATACATAACTAAATTTATAATCTTTCCTAACACACTTTCCGCTCCAAACCTACTTGGATTTCTGTGTTATTTATTCCGGTTGGTATTCTAAGCCAGAGATCTGGGAGTCATTACTGATACCTTCCCTCCTTACTCCTCACCCACCAAGTTGTTTTATACTTCTGTGCCTCCGCCTAGAATAAACTTCCCTCTTTCCTTCTCTTACTCCATTCCAGGCAGAATACTCTCCTCCTCCCATGCTGCTGGAGTACATTTTCCATTGCCCTTTTTTCTGAAACAGGCCTTCTGCGGTACATTGCAGGTGCTCATTTCTGTGTATTTCACCTTTGTAAAATACTCTGGCCTGTGATAGAGTTTTTTAAAAAGGACAGTTTATCATCATCACCTAGCACATGGTCTGGCACGTAGTAAGTGCTCAAAAAATGCTTCTGGATGCATTTCCCCAAAATAGAGATTGATCTTGATTTTTACCTAAGGGAAAATAAACAGCTTTTTAAGAATAGCGGAAACATGAAACAGAACGCAGATCCAAATTTTATTTCTTCCTCAAAGCACAAATACAATTATAATAATTACTGAAAACTTACTATTTCCACCTCTAGGAGAGTCTTTTGGATGTGGTGGAAACATCTGAATTATAAATTCAGATCTTCCTTTCAAGAAGGTGCTATTAGAATTAACCAAAAAGAAAAAAACCTTACTTGCTTTTTGTATTTTTCTTGATTTGTCAATATAATTTTTTTTCTATTGTAATAGGTGAAAAACCTTTTGAATGTCCAAATTGTCATGAACGATTTGCTAGAAATAGCACCCTCAAATGTCACCTGACTGCATGCCAAACTGGAATAGGGGCAAAAAAGGGAAGAAAGAAGCTTTATGAATGTCAGGTATGTGTGGGTGTATTCTGTCCTTAGCAAAGGAGTGGTCTGTGTTGGAAATCATTAAAAGTGAAGGGTCGCAGAGTATAGAGTAAAAGTATAGAGCTGATAGTTTGGAAATGAGAGTAAAGAACATCACTGTCTTGATTTTAGAAGGAAGATTAGAATAGGGTGTTTTTTTACTCAACCCTAGATGACACCAATTTCAATAAAATTATGTCCTAAATAATAGATAATATGAAACTGTGGTTATTCTTAACCACTGAGCAATTACTAGAATTCGGGAGTGAGGCAGTGGGGGGCTGGCTGACTAGCTGTGATCAGCTCTTCTTCCATGATTAGTGTGTATATAACCCAAATAATGTAATTGTTCTAAATGGTAATGATACTATGGGAGAAATTGTAATATTGGTACTTTATATTTTTTGAATTTATATGACATTTAAACAATGAAGCCAGTGTTAAAATGTTTCCCAGGATGTATTTGTTAGCTACATCAGCTAAAAGATCAAATAAAAGAATTATGAAATCTTAGACCATATTATGAATATCATACATTTTTCAGAAAACTTCAAATTTTTCCTTAAAGAGAATAAATGTATTCATATTTTCTTCAGTTTAAATATTAGTATTGTTAAAACCATATGTTTGGTTATTTCAGGTCTGTAACAGTGTGTTTAACAGCTGGGACCAGTTCAAAGATCATTTGGTAATACACACTGGAGATAAACCCAACCATTGTACTTTATGTGACTTGTGGTTTATGCAAGGAAATGAATTAAGGAGGCATCTCAGTGATACTCACAATATTTCAGAGCGTCTAGTAACCGAAGAAGTTCTTTCGGTAGAAACACGTGTGCAGACCGAACCTGTGACGTCAATGACTATTATAGAACAAGTTGGGAAGGTGCATGTGTTACCACTGCTTCAGGTTCAGGTGGATTCAGCACAAGTGACTGTGGAACAGGTCCATCCAGATCTGCTCCAGGACAGCCAAGTGCATGATTCACACATGAGTGAGCTTCCAGAGCAGGTCCAGGTGAGTTATCTAGAAGTGGGTCGAATTCAGACTGAAGAAGGTACTGAAGTACACGTGGAGGAGCTGCATGTCGAACGGGTAAATCAGATGCCAGTGGAAGTACAGACTGAACTTCTAGAAGCTGACTTGGAACAAGTGACCCCTGAAATCATGAACCAGGAGGAGAGAGAGCCCCCCCAAGCAGATGCTGCTGAGGCTGCCAGGGAAGATCACCAAGATGCTGATGGTTTAGAGACCAAATCAACAGTGGATTCCCAAGCAGGGAATGAGAACAGAACACCTATGCCTGTTTTAGATTGAAATAACAGATGAATATATTTTTAAATTTAGGTGTTGGATTTTTGAACTGATGATGGGCAGTGTGACTGTCCTTAGGCTAACAGACAAGTGGACCAAAGTTAAAGTCTTTACTGTTGTGAACTGTTTCTGTTGAAACAAACTGATTTCCCCCCACTTAATGCCACAGAGGAGGGATCTTTCCCATAAGTGAATGGGAAGCTTTGAGAAGTATTATTTCTGGAAACTTAAATGGATTATATTCTTATTATATAGTTGGGTACGAATGTATCTATTTTCATTGTGATAAGGGTTCTCCCTTCTCTCTTTCCCAGGTCATGTTCTTTCTCAGATTTTTTCCATGTTGTAAAATCAAACGTAAAATCATTAGAATACAAACTTAATGTATTCTAATGCATGTTAGAAAATTGAATATATAGGAAACACAAGGCTGCATGAAGAAAAGTACATTGTTAACTGTGCAGTTAAATTTTGGCTTCTGGCTTTCTTTAGTTTGAACAACCTTCTTGTCTATACTGATAGTCACAGATGTCATCTCTGCAACAGAAACAGTGGTGGTGGCAAAATTTCTAGAATGTAAAAAAAAAAAAAAAACCCACACCCATGTGCCTTTTCAAAACCAACTAAACTTCTTTAAAGTGTCTCTGGTTCTTTCAAAGTTTGTGTTATAAGGAGCAATGTAGGTGATGCTATAGTATTTTATGTTTTTGCTTATAATGGCAACTACCAGTTCTTTTTCTTGGTAACTTAGGTTGAGAAATTTCATTTAATGGCAACTGAAGGGCCATTTCCAATTGGGAAAATTCATTTATATCTGTGGTAAACTTTTTTTTTTTTTAATGAAAAGTTGCACTAGTATTTTACCACCAGATGAAAAAAAGGTGAGCATCATTTAAAAATTAATGTATTTAAAATAAAGTACAGAGAAAAACATGTATATAATATATCAGGCTTTGTTTTGAATGAATCTTCCCCCCGATCCTTAATGTAAAGATCTTGTGCTATAACTTTTAAAGCCATACAAATAATAAGAGTGCTAAACTGTGGACTTAAAAGTAGGTGTGTAAATATTTTTAATCAGTATTACTTGGAAAATAAAATATAACAACCACATAAAATAAACCAATATGCTATTTTCTTTACCTGTTAAATATTGGGAGATACTTACATTTTTGAAGTAAAGTTTAAAATTATGTGTTCATGACTCTTTTTTTTTTTTTTTCTTTTTGATTACTAGTGTAGAAGTTGGTTTGTGGTCAGAGATCTTACTTGTATTAACATGACTGATACATGAATTAAGATCTACAGTTCTCAGTATGCACCTCTAATCCCCAAAAATCAGTTCCAAAGAATGGAAGGAGGGAGAGGTTGGCATTTGCAGTTCTTCCATGGTAGGGCACAAAAGCCAATGGAATTTTTAAAATAGAGCCTATTTTTATATACTTTCTCCACTTACTACTAGTATGTTAAATTTAAAAGATCAATTCAGCTTATCCTCATTTGGTAATCCTAATATTAACTGTTTATGAACTGCTTGAACGAGAATGGCTCCCCACAACTGGAGAGGTCATGGATTTAGAGATAACAGGAATAAGAAGTTGAATTTTTAAGATCAAAAAATTGTATGCAATTGTATGTTCTGCTTGGCCATTGGGTACTTACTACAAAACTTATATATATATAGATATACAGATATATTTTCCCCCCTTTGGAGTCAGAGAATACTGATGATAGAGTTAAATTATATTACATGGAATTTTCAGTTTGCCATAAAATGTCCATGTTCCTGAGTTAGTTGTAGTTTAAAAAGAAAAAAAAAAATCCCTGACAGATAGTGGTTTCATGTATGTAAATTACTAGTTAGTATCTAGTGAATTTTGAATGCTGAAAATAGCTCATGATGTGCCCTTTAAGCCAAGGTATGAAGCGAGGTTTATTTTTAAACATAACCTTTCAAGAACTCTGACACAAGGTAGAGATCAGGGACAAAGGCACAAGGAGGTGTTAAAATTAACACTTGAGTTTTCAGATTTGGCAAGGCCTTTCAAAACAGGTTTGAGGGGCAGGTATAGTTTATTTTACTTTCCCCAAAAGGTACAAGGGCACTATCCATGTACCCTGAATGCCAGTAAATTTGATTGCAGGAGAGGAAAGCTTCCCACTGGTGATAAACCTTATGTTGATTAGCACTTTGCAAAACATTCTACATATAATAAAAACAACTATGAAAAACCACGATGTATATTTAAGTATTGAACTGAATATTTTATTCCTCCCATTTTACTCCAATGGGGTTTTTAGGTGTACAGTGACAGCTGGGCCTTAGAGTGCCAGACACTGGTCATCACAGGAATCCCAAGTGCACTGCAGAACAACAGGAGAGCCTCTTCTGTCTCCTCTACTCCACTGTTCTAACAAACAGCAGTACTTCTATTCTCCACCACCACCTGGGTGTCCAACAAGTCACTTCGGACACCAGCCAGTGTTAGCATAGTCTCTATAAGTTAAGTGATCAGTACCACAAGACAATAGCCAAAAATGAGGTATCCAGGATACCTGCACTTCTGCCCTGCCAACTACAAATGAGGGGTTCCCACCCTTGTAACGTTCAATACATTAGAACAACTCAGAGGTGAGGGGAGCACTAGTATAGTTTTATTATAAAGGATACAACCCAGGGGCGCCTGGCTGGCTCAGTCAGTAAAGCATGCAACCCTTGATCTCTGGGTTGTAAGTTCCAGCCCCACGTTGGGTGTAGGGATTACATTAAAATCTATTAAAAAAAAAAAAAAAAACCACCCAGGAACAGCCAAATGGAAGAGATGTCCAGGGCAAAGGGAGTGGGCAGAGCTTCCATGACCTCTTGATGCTCCACCCTCCTGCACATGGATGTGTTCACCAACCTGGAAGCGCTCTTAACCCCTTAACCTTGTTTACTAAAGTTTCATTACCTAGATGTGATTGATGACATCATTGGCCATTAATTATTGAACTCACTCTCCAGCCATTCCTTCCCTGGATATCTTGGGGTGTGGCTGATCGTTCTAGCCCTCTAATCATGTGGTTGGTTCCTCTGGTGACCAGTGCCAAGATCACCTCATGAGCATAAACTCGGGTATGGACAAAAAGCTTATGACAAAAAACATCACTCAGGAAATTCCAAGGATTTTAAGAGCTCTGTGCCAAGAACCAGGGGCAAGACTGAATACATATTTTTTTTATTATACCACACCTATAATCAGATTCAAAGGAGAACTAAACTGAGCCCTAAGAGGAATACACTTAAAACCCAGAAGTCTTTTGGGTTTTTTTTGGTTTTTTTTGTTTTTTGTTTTAAAGATTTTATTTATTTATTCATGAGAGACAGAGAGAGAGAGAGGCAGAGGGAGAAGCAGGCTCCCAAGGAGCAGGGAGCCTGATGTGGGACTCGATCCCAGAACCCCTGAGATCATGACCTGAGCCGAAGGCAGACACTTAACCATCTGAGCCACCCAGGCACCCAAAACCCAGAAGTCTTTTGAGTATGTATGAAAACAGAAGGCTCTTACTGTCTTACTAGTTTAAAAAGGCTGCCCTCAGGGTCCCTTGGGTCAGTCTGTTAAGTGCCTTTGGTTCAGGTCATGATCCCAGGGTTCTGGCATTGAGCCCCGCATCGAGCTCTCCACTCAGAGGAAAGCCTGCTTCTCCCTCTCCCTCTGCCACTCCCCCACGAGCTCTCTCTCTGTCAAATAAATAAAATATTTAAAAAATAAAAAGGCTGCCATCCTCATACACTACTGAAAGTGGGAATATTTTTGTGGACACAGAAATGCTTGTTTCTGCTACATTCAACTTGAAATTAATCACTTTGTAACTGGAACAAGCCAACAGTACTGACTGAGGCCTAAATGTAGATAAAGTCTATACCAGAAAATCAAGCCCGTTTTAATGTACATCTTCAATTTAACATGGATTATTTTAAACCCATGACCAGATGGTCATTAACATGTTCACATGGAAACTGTTTTATAACTATGCCATGCAAAATTATAAGGAAATGCCTGACCTTAAAAGCTTAGCCTGATTCTGTTGGAGAAAGCTTACTAGCTCCGCATTCATTAGGTTACCACTGTTAGTTACATTAGGAGAGGGGGGAACCTAAGCTCAGAGTTTTTAAGATATAATGCACTGAGTTGTGCTATGGCTCTTACACGGTTTGTCATAAAAGATTTAAATGAGAAGCAGCAGGAATTAAAACTTAAACCCTCACCACCACCACCAATTAATAGGATCCTTTGTAGTTGGAGGCCTAGAAGTGTACTGCTTTAAAATGCTAAACACAGAGGCTGCCATTATAAATGTATCCTGACCTTGTGGGGATATCTTAAAATTCCTGTGTTGTATAAACATTACTTCATTAATCCTGTCGACATGATAAATAGGAAGGCAGGCTGTGAATTCAGTATTTTTTTCTTCTCACCTTTCCTAAAACCTAATATCACGTAATTATTCACCTGAAGCAATGCCCACCTTGTTGGGCATTGTACCAAAACAGCCTAGGAAAGAAAAATCTCGTGACATAAATAGCATCATTTATGAATCACTTATCATATGCTGAACATTTAACATTTTAATCATCTCAATGATCTCCTGAGGTAAATATAAATGGGGGAAAGTAAGGGATGGAGGAGATGAGAAACCACTGGTAAAGAATGGAGCCAGTATTTGAAACCAGGGAACTGGACTCCACAGACTACAGCCTTGATCACTGAAATACAGTTAACCTTTGTATGAGATCTCTTTGTGGTTGACAACATTGGATTGCACAGAGCAAAAGCTAAACATCTGTTTTCTTTTTGGAATCCACATCAGCCCTTGATGGGGTTTGGGATGCAGGGAACAGGAGATCAGAAAAGCCGGCAAGATACATTCAGCAAATTGTCTTTTGATGTCTCCTTGCCATCTCCTGACCCTAAGACACACCATCTAGGCAATGGTTCTCCAACCTAGTGTGCATCAGGATCTTGTTAAAACACACATTGCTAGCCCCCCCCCCCCCCCGAGTTGCTGATTCAACTGGCCTGGACTAGGGCCCCCAAAAGTTCATGTTTAACAAGTTCCCAGCTAATACTAACACCCTTAGTCCTGGAACCAGGGTCAATTGGGGAACGAGGGGGATAGGGCACTTCAAAGAAGCACTGATGAGTAGCCAATGGAGTGGACCTTTCTGGTGGTCTCTTTTTTATAGTGTAGCCAGGTGCTACTCTAAAAACATCCTGTTACCTATTGTTCATGTTTTTTTTAAAGATTTATTTATTTATTTATTTGAGAGAGAGAATGAGTTAGAGAGAGCATGAGAGTGGGGAGGGTTAGAGGGAGAAGCAGACTCCCCGCTGAGCAGGGAGCCCGGTGTGGGACTCGATCCCAGGACTCCAGGATCGTGACCTGAGCCAAAGGCAGTCGCTTAACCAACTGAGCCACCCAGGCACCCCTTATTGTTCATGTTTATCATTCAAGTAATGGACTGGGCTAAGGCAGCTGTCTTAGGTTTTTTAATTTCAAGCAAGAACATTCTGCTTATTCTCAGTAAATAATTGCTTTTCTGCTTCTAAAATGAAAATGCCACAAAGACAAATGTTAGAGAATAATAAGAAATTAAACACCAAAAAATCAGGGGCGCCTGGGTGGCTCAGGTCATGATCCCGGGGTCCTGGGATTGAGCCCCACATCAGGCTCCCTGCTTAGCAGGGAGCCTGCTTCTCCCTCTCCCTCTGCCTCTCCCCCTGCTGCTTGTGCTCTCTCTCTCTCTCAAATAAATAAAATCTTACAAAAATAAAATCTTAAAAAAAAATCAGAATAGTTGACTAGGAATAGTTATGCTTCTTCTGAGTAACCCAAATATACTTTAGACACAAAATGTTAGCTAATACCTGCTGAGAAGTAAATGTCAATATATGAATTCACTTAAGAGACTAGCTGATCATTAGCTATGTTGTTGTGGTCTGGTAGACTGTCTATATTAGGACAGAAACTTGCCTGTGAAATAATAGTTATCTATTAGATACAACTGTGAAATACTATGGAAGGAATACTATGGGTTCAGAACCCTCATCCAATTAAAATGGTGCCCATTAAAAACTAAGATGCAAACAAACGTAATGTGTCATTTTATTTTTATAATTTTTTTTAAAGATTTTATTTATTTATTTGA